AATCGGGTGGCAGCGCAGCCTCCTGACTGCTTCCACCTGGTGGGTAGAAGTCTGCCTGTCAGTTTTTGACACAATGCCGGTGGCTGTTGCCACTGGATTATGTTTAAAACCTCCTGCTGTCAGGTCTGTACAAAATACAATACTTAAAGATAGTTATTTAGAGGTTGTAAAATAAATTACCATATCACCCAGTAGATGGCCTCCATTCAGTAGCCAAAAAAGAGCAGTGCTCTGCTATTTGCATACTGGTTGTCTTTTGGTCTTACCAATATACATCTTTTTACAGGGACAAGTCAAAATATATAGCACTTAGATCAAATGATCCTGAAAGCAATCTTGCTCAACATTATGCTAAATATCATGGAGGTAAATTGGATGGCACAAAAGTGAAAGGTTTCTATGCATTGCACTTTCCTCAAAGGAGAGGTGATTTTGACAGAGAACTGCTAAAAAAGGAGAAATATTGGATATATAAACTTGATACAATGTACCCAAAGGGGTTAAATGTGGAATGTGATCTCCAAGTATTTTTGGATAAATAGATTTACATAGTTATGTATCCTTATATTGCCATGTGCACTTTTGGTTGATCTATGGCATTTTTCTGTCTTCATTAATGGGTGAATTATATGCCAAATAATGAAGGCAAACCTTTTGGCATCTGGGAAATATTGATGACCTGATGGTATAAATTTGAATATAGGTCTAAAAAATGTAAATGGATCGACTGTTGAGCTAATTATGCCCTTCCCTCTTAATAATAATGATACCATTAAATGGGTATTTGAAGTCTAGGTATCTTTGGCAAAATAATCCACAGTGAGATTTGTTAATTAACATTGCCATCTTGTGGCGGCTTTGTGGTAATTCATACTGAACCCTTAGGAACTATTGATTTAATGAATAGGCCTGGTGATTCTTTCACTAACATCGCCATCTCCTGGTGAAAGTGTGGTAATTTTCCAATTGATTAGTATATATAATCTATGGTCTTTTGATTTGTGTATGCATTGTTGAAATTGCCAAGCCTTTCCTCTCTCTGATATTTCCAGTCGTTTGTCCTTTTAATTGAATTTAATAATGACCAGCAGCTGTGCTAAGTATTTAGCCCCCTTTTTTTCTTCCATTGGGAATAACTGCAAGTTAATTTTTGCATAAATGGGTGGGTCTTAACCCACTATAAATAGAAAACTGGAATGCAGGAATCTCATTGGTCCTGACGAAGCTGAGTGAGATACGCCCATCGGCGAAACGCGTTGACGTCATACGTCAGATACGTCACTTCCGGTCATGCGCACTAGGTGGAACGCACGCTGACCCACAAGGAGGAAGCCATCTTCACATGCCATGAGGCAAGCTTAAGCAGCACAGGCGCCGAGAAGAGGTCGGAACCCGTGGTATATCGGCTGATGTCAGCGGTGGTTCCCTGGCCTCTCTGGCCTTGCATGGCAGTACTTATGAAGGACATCTTTTCCTTTCCTATTATCCATTGCGCAGGTGGTGAGTGGACTGTTACAGGACATTAGTTATATGGTCCTATGTGATCGTTATGACCCTATACATCTCATATAGAGTGAAAGCTCTTCCAGTGACTTTCCACATATTGTCTGTTTCACTACAGGAATGGGACATCATGGTGCTTTTCATAGGAAACAGGATATACCACGTGTATCTCAACAGGCAGAAGATCTATTGGGATTTGTCTTGTTTTCCTTACAGAAAGTGGTGTGTAGTCCACATACAGTGGTGAAGAAACCATTTCAAGCAGTGCTCTGCTATTTGCATCTATCCTTCCATCCTGGTAACAAATGGGGCTTATTCTCATTTTAGAGCCCTAGGAAACAGTCGCTTATATATTACAGATGAATGGGCCCCAACCACATGTGCCGGCATAGGAATGTACTGCATTTTATATATGACATTCATTTTTTGTCTCATATAGGCCTAGAGGCATGCTTCTCTTTTTGACGCATACTGTGCTTGCTGCATTGCATACATGTGATATTTTATATCTATAGTATAATTTTTTGTTACTCCCTGCTTGGGATATAACCATTTTGGTAGTAGCATATAGTCTACATATTTACAACATGTTACATGGTTTTTTAGGTCTGTGTGTATATACCTATGGTGACAACATAATTTTTTTGCATACACCTCCTGCGGGAAGTGTTCACCTATGTGCTAGTGCTACAAAGACTTTAGACTCTAGTAGTCACTGTCCTTGTTGCACATGTATTTAGGACTTGGGTCATTTTAAATGGGTCTTGGTGTCATTTTAAATGGTTTTAGGTCTGTGTGTATTGTCATACATTTTCTTTACTACCCTTTCAGTTGTCCCACCATGTCTAGAATCAATAGAAAATTAGATATATTACAAAGCATAGGCATTGCTAGCCCAGACATTGGGGATATGTAGTCCTTTCCTTTGTACCCCAAGTCAGGTAACCCTGCATGCCTGTTATGCAGGATTCACAGATTGTGTTGCCCACAGCTATGTGAGATGGGGAAACAGCTCTCATTGTTTGAACACTGATTGTGTGGAAGTAAATTAATGTTTTGACTGACATTCTGCGGTTTAACCACAAGATGTCACTGTTTTTCTAACACAGTGTCAGGAATGGACTTGCCAGTAATGGTGGGACTCACCTGCCTTGTGGGCTGCAGTACCAGGGCTGGCCAGTGGGTGCTCCCAGCAATCAGAGACTCAACCCTGCAGCCAGCCAAACACCTGAAGCTAATTATGCAGGTGTATTTAAGGGATGGCCAGACCTGCAGTCTGGGCCTTGGTGTGTGTGTTTTTTCCTGGGCCCTGTATCTTGTTACCTGCATTCCTGTTCCTGTTCCTGTTCCTGTCCCTGTCCCTGTCCCCCTGTCTCTGTCTGACTGATTCGTTGCTGACCCTGCCTGATCCGGACCTCTGCTGACTTCTCCTGTTTGATCCCTGGCTTGTGACCCCGACCATTCTCTGCCTGACCCCCTGTTCCTACCTGCCCGATTGTTATTGACCCGGCCTGCCTGACGACGCTTGCATTGTATGTATTATCTGTGGGTGGTTTGGTTTGGTTCGTTTGCACTGTGTTATGTTTTAGTATTGCACTGCGTTTATGTATTGTTAGTGTTAATAAATTATATTGTTTTATATCATATCTGAAGCCTGCATTTCCCTGCGTCAGTTCACATACCTCTGGTCATACCCTGGAGCCCTGACATTACACCAAGGCCAATCCTGACCAGAAGTGGCTGCACAGAGAAGCCATCTTGGCTTGTTGCTGGGAAGGATGGATCTTGATGAGGTTGTGTATTTGTCGCTGCTGGTTTTTGATGACAGAGAATATGCTTATCAGACTCTGAGGGAGTATACCCGGGATCAACTGCTAGAATGTATACGGATCGCTCATGTTCTAGTAGATCAGGGCACAGAGTTCTCTGAGGTGCAACCTTTGATTCAGGTTTGTGTAGAGTTGGCTTCATCTGGTACCCCTGAAAGCAGGAATTACTTTTTGCCACCATTTAGTGCAGACCAGGTAGAGTCCCTGGTATGGTTATTAGAGGATGATGTGGATTGCTTCTTGGAGCATTATGCTGCATGTTCACCACAGGTATTAAGGGATTGTATAAACGCAGTGCAGTCTTTGGTCAGACAGGCTTTGTGTAAGCTGAGCTTTGTTCAACCCATACTGCAGACATGGTCAGACTTGTTGCACCCAGCCTCAGTCAGCTTGCAAAAACCCAGTCCTGCTTCTAATCTATTTCTTCAAAGCTCTATTCCTGCATTCCCAACAGCACCTCCAGTTACAGCCCAGTATACCCTGCTATCTACCCCATGTCAGTACCCTGTTCCCACTCGCTGCACCTATCCTGCCTTTAACCCTGTAAAGAAGCCCTCCGTAGCAACTGTTCCCTCCCCTGTTCCATCTTCCAGCTCTTCTCTGTCTTCAGCTGCTCCATCCGTTTACAAACCTGTGCTTACTTACAGTGCTCCGGTAACTAAAACCAGGAAAAGGCGAAAGTTCTTTCCAACCAATACCATCCTGCCAGTATCCAAACCGGTCAGCCTCCCATCTGAGAACCTGCCTTCCGTGGTGCAGCCTGGTGCCTCGGCGCCCACAATTCAGCCTGATGCCTCTACCCAGCCTGATGCCTCTACCCAGCCTGATGCCTCTACCCAGCCTGATGCCTCCTACCCAGCCTGATGCCTCCACCCAGCCTGATGCCTCCACCCAGCCTGATGCCTCCACCCAGCCTGATGCCTCCACCCAGCCTGATGCCTCCATTCAACCTGATGCCTCCATTCAGCCTGATGCCTCTACCCAGCATGATGTTTCTACCCAGCCTGATGAACTGATCCAGCCTGATGATTCCATTAGGCCAGTTGACTCGATGCCCGCTGTCGAGCCAGACGATCCAATGCCTGATGACCCAGTGCCCGCTGTCATGCCTGGTGACCCGATGCCCGCTGTCGGCCAGACGATCCAATGTCTGACCCAGTGCCCGCGGTGGTCATGCCAGTTGACTCGGTGCCCACTGCCTTGCCAGATGACGCGGTGCCCGCTGGCGAGCCAAATGACCTGATGCCTGGTGACCCAGTTCCCGCTGTCATACCTGGTGACCCGATGCCCGCTGTCGAGTCAGACAATCCCATGCCTGATGACCCAGTGCCCGCTGTCATGCCTGGTGCCCCGATGCCCGCTGTCAGGCCAGACGATCCAATGTCTGACCCAGTGCCCGCGGTCATGCCAGTTGACTCGGAGCCCACTGTCGTGCCTGGTGACTCGGTGCCCACTGCCTTGCCAGATGACGCGGTGCCTGCTGGCGAGCCAAATGACCTGATGCCTGGTGACCCAGTGCCCGCTGTCATGCCTGGTGACCCAATGCCCGCTGTCGAGCCAGACGATCCAACGCCAGATGACCCGGTGCCCGCTGTCGATCCAGACGATCCGGTACCTGATGACCCGGTGCCCGCTGTCGTGCCAATTGACTCAGAGCCCACTGTCGTGCCTGGTGACTCGGTGCCCACTGCCTTGCCAGATGACGCGGTGCCCGCTGTCGAGCCAAATAACCTGATGCCTGGTGACCCGATGCCCGCTGTCGAGCCAGACGATCCAATGTCTGACCCAGTGCCCGTGGTCATGCCAGTTGACTCGGAACCCACTGTCGTGCCTGCTGACTCGGTGCCCACTGCCTTGCCAGATGACGCGGTGCCCGCTGGCGAGCCCAATGACCTGATGCCTGGTGACCCGATGCCCGTTGTCGTGCCTGATGACCCGGTGCCCGCTGCTCCGCCTGGGGGCCCGGTGCCTGCCGTCCCCTCCCAGGGGTTGCCCGCGCCCGCCACTCTGCCTGGGGGCCTGGCGCCCGTCACTCCTCCTGGGGGCCTGGTGCCTGCCGCCCCTCCTGGGGGCCCGGCGCCCTGCCGCTCCGCCTGGGGGCCCGGCACCCGGCGCCCCATCTGGGGGCCCGATGCCTGTCGCTCCGCCTGGGGGCCCGATGCCCTGTCGCCCCTCCTGGGGGCCCGGCGCCTGCCGCTCCGCCTGGGGGGGCCCGCCACCCCCGCCTGGGGGCCCGATGCCTGTCGCTCCGCCCGGGGGCTCGGTGCCTGCCGCCCCTCCTGGGGGCCCGGTGCCTGCCGCTCCGCCTGAGGGCCCGGCACCTGCCGCTCCGCCTGGGGGCCCGGCGCCCGCCGCCGCTCCGCCTGGGGGCCCGGCACCCCGCCGCTCCGCCTGGGGGCCCCGTCGCCCCGCCTGGGGGCTCGATGCCCGTCGCCCCGCCTGGGGGTCCGATACCCGTCGCCCCCCCTGGGGGCCTGATGCCTGTCGCCCCACCTGGGGGCCCGGCGCCCGCCTGCTCCGCCTGGGGGCCCGATGCCTGTCACTCCGCCTAGGGGCCTGATGCCTGTCGCCCCTCCTGGTGGCCCGCGCCTGCCTGCTTGCTCCGCCTGGTGGCCCGGTGCCTGCTGCTCCGCCTGGTTATCCCGTGTCCAGCTCGATGTGCCTCTGCCCGGAGTCCAGCTCGATGTGCCTCTGCCCGGAGTCCAGCCCGATGTCCTGCCCGGAGTCCAGCCCGATTGTTGCCGCTGCCCGGAGTCCTGCCCGATGTGCCTCGCTGCCCCGGAGTCCAGCCCGATGTGTGCCGCTGCCCGGAGTCCAGCCCGATGTGCCGCTGCCCGGAGTCCAGCCGATGTGCCTCTGCCCGGAGTCCAGCCCGATGTGCCTCTGCCCGGAGTCCAGCCCGGTGTGCCTCTGCCCGGAGTCCTGCCCGGTGTGCCTCTGCCCGGAGTCCAGCCCGGTGTGCCCTCTGCCCGGAGTCCAGCCCCCGCCAAGTGTGCCTCTGCCCGGAGTCCAGCGCCCGGTTGTGCCGCTGCCCGGAGTCCTGCCGGTGTGCCGCTGCCCGGAGTCCAGCCCGAGGTGCCCCGCTGCCCGGAGTCCTGCCCGGTGTGCCGCTGGCTGAGTCCAGCGGATGTCCCAGCCCGATGTGCCGCTGCCCGGAGTCCTGCCCGATGTGCCAGTCTTTGATATCCCGCCAGTTACCAGACCCGGGCGGTGGAACATTTTGCCCAGCTAGGACTGTTTGGAGCGTCCTGAGGCCGCTCCTTGAGGGGGGGGTACTGTCAGTGAATGGACTTGCCAGTAACGGGTGGTGGTGGGACTCACCTGCCTTGAGTGGGCTGCTGCAGTACCAGGGCTGGCCAGCGGGTGCTTCCCAGCAATCAGAGACTCAACCCTGCAGCCAGCCAAACACCTGCACTGAAGCTGATTATGCAGGTGTAATTTAAGGGATGGCCAGACCTGCAGTCTGGGGCCTTGGTGTGTGTTTTTCCTGGGCCCTGTATCTTTGTTCCTGCATTTCCCTGTTTCCTGTTCCTGTTCTACTGTCCTCATTCGTTGCTGACCCTGCCTGGATCCGGGACCGTCTGCTGACTTCTCCTGTTTTGACTATCCCTGGCTTGTGACCCCGACCATTCTCTGCCTGGACCCAGCTGTACCTACCTGCCCACCTACCTGCCCGATAGTTATCGTACTGGGCCGGGCCGGACTTACGTTTTAGTTATATATGGCGTATTGAAAAAAAAAAAAGGGGCTCTTGCATGGGTACTGTACTGGGTATCTGTGGTCTAGGTATTTGGGTTTGGTTCACCTCGTGTATGTATTCTGTGTTATGCTTGGGGTTTGGGGAGAGGTGCTCCCCGCAAAAAGGGGGTTTTCCCCCCTCCTGAACAGCCTTTGATGTGGGCTTGGCGGGCCCCTAGGAATCGGGCAGGGGAAAGGGGAGGGGGGGATGATAAAAGGAGAGAAAGGGGGGGAGGAAGGGACTGCAGGTGGGGGGGACCATGCAAAAACCCATTTGTTAATCATAATAGATGTTGGGGTCATTTGTCCCCAATGGCTTTTTGTTTGTGTGGGGGATTTTTGCCAAAAAATTTTTGGTTTTTAGATTTCAAAAACATACCCCATAAAAAATCGCAGTCAAAAAATTTTGTTTTTACTTTGACAGAATTGGACTTCTTTTGCCCCTTAAATTACAATATGTGATGTTATGTTGCTGTTTGAAGTTGCGAGTTTTAAAATTATGGAATATTTTGACTAAAATGAAACTCCATGTGTACACCCAATTCTTTTGGTGAGGCCCAAAAAGTGACAGAACATGAGAAAAATTTTTCAATGCTAGTACTTTTATTATTAAACATGAATACATTTAGAGAGGGGACATCGGGGGTTTTTTTGGTTAGTTTTGGGGATGGGGGGAATTTTCAGAACTTGGCTTGTCCTTACATTGGAATCATTGTAAGGGAAAATTTTTAAAAATTGTTGACTTGCTTACATTACTGCCTGTGGCCTTTTTGGTGATTGGTATATATATCTACAGCCTCTTTTTCCAGGGGTGCGTGTTTGGGGAATCCTTTTTGTGATAAGGGGGGTCCAACCCCATTAGGACATCCAAGAGTTCCAAATTTTAAAATTGACATTGTGATCATGTCATTGCATAGCAAAACATGATCAAAAAGCTTAACAAATCATCCCCTCCCATACTTGCTATGGGGGCTTAGGGGTGGAGAAAAGTTTGGAAAAGGATGCAGTCTCCCCCAGGGAGTAATCCAAAGTAAAAACACAACAATTAGGGAACAAAGGGGCCAATTGTCCCTGTTGTGTGGCCTGACCCAGGAAATGGACAGTTGATTCACCCCTGTGCCTTAGTTTTGGCACACAGGTTTTAAAAAAATTTGATAAATTTGCATGTTTTTAGGTTGGAATTTACAATTTGTGTTATTCTTTTTTAAAACAAGAGAGTGAAGGGAGGGCCCCGTAAGTGCCTTTTAAAGTGATTGGCTGTTTCTGTGTGCATTATGTAACTTTAATGTGGCTTTGGAAAACATTTTTTGAGAAATGAGTAAAATCTGCCTGTTTTTAGGTTGGTAATGTTTAATTTCTGTTTATTCTTTTTGTAGAACAAGAGAGTGAAGAGGGGGGCCACCTAAGTGCCTTGAATGTGATTGGCGTTCTCTGTGTGCTTATGTAAATTTGATGTGTGCAATGTGTTTGTTGAGTTCTATCTTGTTTTTTAGTACACCGCTTGTTGGAAAGGGGGGCGAGGAGGATGGGAGGAGGAGGGGACATCCTTCAGGTCCTTAATGCATTTAATTCTTGTTTTTCTGTGTTCCCCTTTTTTGTCCTTGGGTCTCTCAAAGGGTTGTTGTTGTTGTTCTTTCTTTTTTGTTAGTCCGCAAGGGTTTCTTCCAGTGGAGGAGGGGAGGAGGCGGCGGCGGCGCCCCCGTCTCCGGGTCGCCCGTTCTGCCGGAGACTCCCCCACTTCCCGCTCACTGTAAGTGTTTGGATGTGCTTTGCCTTTCTCTCTGGCATTAGTAACTTTGATGCCTGCAATTTTTTCTGTTCTATCTTGTTGTTTTTGTGCACCAGCCTGTTGGAAAAAGGAAGGGATGAAATGAGGAGGGCACCTATCTGGGGCACACGTGGTTCATTGAATGTGCTTGTCTGTTCTCTGGTTCCCTTTTTGTCCTTGGCTCTTCAAAAGGGGGTTTTTGTATCCTTTCTTTTTGTGTTCAGCAAGGTTTTTTCCAAGGAGGAGGAGGAGGGGGGGAGGCCCACCACCACCCCCAGAATTTGGACCGCAGCAGGAGGGCCCTCACCCCCAGTCCTGTTAATGCCTTGATGTGCTTGCCTGTTCCTTTTGCATTGTGTCAATTGAGTTTGCAATGTTTGGTTTTGTTCTTTTGTTGTTTGTGTACCCCGCCCTATTGGAAAAGGGTGGCTGGGAAAAAAGCAGAGGGAGGGTGCTTTTCCCCCCCATCCACTGTAAATACCCTTTAAAGTGTTTGGGGATTTTCCTTCTGTACAATCAAGCTGACCATAGCTGTAGGGGTAATTTGACTGTTAATATTTGGGGGGGGCCGGACTGTAGTTTCTTATCTAAGTCGGCCTTTTTTTTTGTTTCCCCTACTGCAATTACCTGGTTGAAGATTGGGCAAATACTTCATCTGTCCCCCCTTTGGTTGTAAGGGTGGTTTTCTTTGCTGTGATGGAGCGTAGGCGGACCGAACACACAGAGCAGATGATAAACACCAAAGCTTTTTTGAATTAGGGCGTCCTCAAATTTGGTATGAAGGTAGGTCCAAAATTCCGGGCAGGGGAAGAAAACAGGGGTGGTCCCCAAAAAATTGTAATTTGGCCCCAAAAAGGGCAAACTTAGAGTCTCTGTTTAAATTGTAATCCAAGGTGCGCATCGCGGCCCCCGGGATCGGATGTCCCGGCCCCTTTCTCCGCACATCTCGGGACTGAGGCAGCCCAAAAAAAAGGGATAGTGCCGCTTAACCCCCGGGGGCCCCCCGCCCCTTCTCCCCGGATTCGGGCACAATTTAATGCCCGGAAAAAAGGCGGTGAAGAGCCCTGGAGGTCCCGCTTTCGGTCCCTGCGGGGCCCGGGGATCCCGATGGCGGCCGGAATCGGGGCCCCCGGTCCTGGTGCCTCCCTTTCCCCCTGTTTGCGCGCACCTCTCCCCCGGAGGGAAAGATGGGCTCCCTTTGTCCGACGTTGGGGTTTTCCCGGGGAGGGGCAGCGTATCATCAGCTGGGGGAGTTACTCCCTGCAGCCCCCCCCTCCCCCCTCCAGCCCCGTGCCCACTAGAGTCCCAGGTTCGGGCCGTTCATTGAGCCAAGAAATCCCCGGCATCCCCGCCCTTGAGCACCCAAATACTGCCATTTTTTCAAACCGATAGCGGTCCTGAGGGCCCGCGGATGATAGCCCACTTCCCGCCAAAAGTTTCCCTGACCCGCCAAAACTCTGGTATGCAAATTTGGGTAGCCCCGGTTCCCCAGTTTGCGCAACGTGAATTAGACAGAGCTACCTCAAAATGGCAGCTGATCTTAAGCAGGATTTCCCGGGCCCCTTTGGGCCCCCGTCTAACTTTTTGAGGCTAAAATGGGTTTCGACAGTCCCAAAAAATCTCCCCAAAAAACTATCAAACACCCCACTTCAAGAAACGCCTGGAGGAGGCGAATTTTTAAAATTGGGACCTAGAGAAACGAGCCAGGCCATACAAATTTTTCCCTTTTAGGGGCTGCCCGAAATCGGTTTTTGGGGCTTACAAACTGCGCACACACCACTCATCGGTCTGCTTCCGCCCATTGAAAACCTTCACCTTTTAGATTCGTTTGCATTCACCGGGGCCCCTGGGCCCCCCCCGGCAACGGGGGGGCCCCATTTTTTTCCAAAAGGGGTTAAGGGGGCGGTCATGCGGTATGGCAGGGAGAATCCCGATTGAGCTTTTAAGGGGCCCAAAGG